TGCCAGAGATGTTAGGACGCCGCGATGCTACACAAAGGACCATGTTGGAGATTTGGGAACGCTGCTTTGCTGGGTACTGGTGTCTTCAGAACTCCTCAATTGAACTCATGTTCACGCAAATCTGGTGCAGGTACGTATCCGGGGAGGGGGGGCATGGGGCCTCTCTCTCCTCCCCCCCCCCCCCCCCCCAAATATTCCATACTGCTGGGGCCTCCTCCCCCCACCGCCCTAAAAAGCATTTTGTCACAGGCGCCCCCCCCCCCCCTCCCCTTCCTCTAAATCGAAGTCCTCGCTACGTGCCTGATAAGTGAAATGTTTAAGCGCTTCAAGAAGCGGAATTATAATGGGGTATATTATGCATTAGGTAGCTTATACGTATTATTCTTTATGGACGTGTTTGTGCTCGTGTTTTCTTGTGTAAAGGTGTGGAGAGAGCGGGGGAGAAAAGGAAAGGGTGCACCTAAGATGCAGCTATATGTATATACAAGGGAGAACACAAAGATGTCCGAAATTTTGTAATAAGAAGCATTTGTTGGTTTGTAAAGTTTGCCACGTTAATCATCCTCAAAGTAGTCTCCATTTGAGTGAATGCATCGGTCCAAATGTGTTTTCCTCTTTTCAGAATAGTTCTGGAACTCATTCAAACTTACGACCTTCAATGCCTCCCTCATTCTTTATTTGACCTCTTCCACATCCACAAAACGTTTTCCTTGCAGGACTCTTTTTATGCGGGGAAACATAAAAAAGTCGCACGGTTCCAGGTCCGGGTAACAGGGTAGAAAAGCGGTGTAAGCCATTTTTGTTAAACGAAAGTTGTACTGACAGGACGTTCCCTAGGAAATGACTTTGATGAAGAGTGAACAAACGAGGCATATATTTTGCTGAAAATCTTCTCATGTTGTGTTCAAAATACGCTGACACGAGTCCAGCATCTTTACTCAGTTCAGTAAGCTCTTCAATTGTACTTCGACGATCTGCCAAGATCGAATCCCGAATTTCCTCGATGTTTTCATAACTTGCCAGAGATAAAGGGTCGTCCTGAACGAGGTTGGTCGTCAATAAATAATTCACCGGCCTTGAAGAGAAGAAAACCGTTCGCAGACCTGCGATTTCTTTATAGCATCTTTTTATGTAGGCTTTCTAAAGCATTACAAGAATTTCCGCCGCCGTTTTTTCTAAAAGAAAAGAAATTTTCATGGTCACACGCTGTTTCTTCAAATCAAACATTGCAAGAAACCAGGAGTGGTCTCATAGCGCTTGGAGAAAAAATTTAAAACATGCAGCTAGAGCCTTAGCAGACGACGCCGGTCTGCAAACTGACTCGGAAGGAGAGCCGCTAAGCGACGCTAGTGGCGGAAGCTGGAATTACGCCCACCAGAAATTCATTCCGTTTACTGGTGGGTTCCCCCTCGTATGCGTGCATGGCCAGGGGAACGGAGACATTCATGTATCAAAAACCCACCCGCGCAAATAAACTATAATTGACTTCAATGGAACGATTTCAACATTTCCGAGTGGTTAGCTTATTGTTTTCTTTGTGACGTAAGAACATGGCATTACTGTTGTTCGTGAATCAAAAGTCGTCCTACACAACACTAAGTTATTCGTCAATAAAAGCTAGAATACATGTGCAAATTATTAACCTAAAATCGCACGAAATTCGGAGCATCAAAAAGCAATTTTACTCAAAACTAAATAAATTAACTGTGTTTTTTATTTTACAAAATTGCCCAATAAACTTCCAACAACAGCCTTTTTTTTTTTGTTATTTACGTACAGGAGATACCCATCTAAAATTACCAGAAATTATCTTCGTATTTTTCATGTTTTGTGGGTCCTCCTGTTGATTTTTCACACGTGTGATAAAAGCTTCGGCTCCATGAAACGTGCTGCCTTTTTTTCTTCTCCTTAAATTTCGTTTTTAGAGCGTTTGATGGCATTTTAACCCAAAAATGGCTTCGTTTCCTTACTTTCATTGTCGCCTTATGTTTCTTGCTGTACAGCCTCAAGTGATTTATCCTTTAATGATATGCGCAAGCTATAAGAACGTACATGACTTGAACTTTACGTACGTCAACGAACATTTAAAAAAAAAGACATTCACGTCGAGAAAGCGTACAAAGTAGCAAATACAATAGGCAAGGGCACAAGTTACGCAGTCGATTTTCTTTTGAACGCGACACTATATAACCTACATGTTTCCAAGAATACCGCAAACGAGGTCTCCCTTTTTGTTTGCAAGCGTTTACGCGGTCAGAAGGGGCTGTCAGTGACTGTTCTTTATATTTTTAGCGACATTTTGATTGGAAACAACGTGTAGCTCGGGGCCTCGGAGTACAAATATAGGTGGCTTTTCGAGGATTACGAGGGCCCACCTGACGAGTTGGCACGACAGCCGAGTTGACACCGGTTGACGGATGGCAAGGAACGGGGGCCGACCCGGTCCCGCTGACATCTCTAAATGCGGTACGCGCTCTTCGACCGACGAGGATCCTAAAATAGCGCCGTTACGTCCGGTTCAGCTTTGCCCTGTCGAACGGTTCGATATGGAACGTCAGCCAGCGAGGATGAGCACTGCCGTCCCGAGATTGGGGCCAACCATCGAGTTCTAATTCGGTGGACTCCCGTTGCTAACGGAGTTTCGTACAGCCGGAATTATTTTTTTGGTATCTCCCGCTAGGTCCGTTTTCAAGGGACCCGACTCCATCAGTGCAGCAGTCGTGGTTCTTGTGAAACACTGCATTCGGCTTCAGTGGATGGTTTCAGGAGACTCTTTCAACGCGGTTGCTTATTTAGTGAAGGCTTATTTTTACGAAGAGCGTGCTGTAGTGAAATCTCGATTCCAGTTGAAGGAAAGTGCGGAGCGGAAGCGGTTCCCTATTGAAAAAACCCATATAAATGTTATACAGGAAGTGTTACAGGAAGGTGATTCCTGTATACTTTCGTATGGGAAGTGTTACAGGAAGCCCTTTCCTGTATACTTTTGTATGGGAAGTGTTACAGGAAGCCAACTCCTATATGGGTTCTTTGTATAGGAAACCAGTTCCTGTATGGGAAAGGTTACAGGAAGCCCTTTCCTGTAGACTTTAGTATGGGAAGTGTTACAGGAAGCCACTTCCTGTTTATTCCCATATCGGTACTTTGTATAGGAAACCAGTTCCTGTATAGTCTGTGAGGAAACAAATCGACTCCTGTATACACTCAAACAGGAAGTCCTAAAAGATGACTTACATAAAGCCACAACCGGTATAGCCTTATATGGGATGCCAAACTCCATTAGGGCCATTACAAGAAGTAAGATTTTACTCTTTAAAACATGTCTTATACACCATTTCTGTTTTTGTGCTCTAGAACTAAATGTGCCGGTTCTGAAAAAGGCATCTGTGCATGTGCCCAAAGCTGGTCGTAGCCTGCTAAGTTTAGTGGCAGCATGATTCCGCTAAATTTTGTGGATTCTGTGACCACCTCCATCATAGGTCCGTAAGCTACAATATCACGGTACACGAGGAGGGTCACGTGACTTAGAGACCACACAACCCCTCTCCCTCTTTCTGTCCCTTCACCCTCCCAGCACGTGTCCGAAGCCGCCCTCCCCCAGACCCCTACCTGCAGCCCCCTCCTCCCTCCCCGCGCCCCAGTTCCCTTCACCCTCCCTATGTGTGTCCGAAGCCATCCCCCCAGTCCCTTTGCCCTCCATTCGCCCCCCCCCCCCCCTTCACCCTCTGTGTGTGTCCGTCTCTAGGTTATGTGACCTATGATATCACATGATCATAACTATGATCAAATGATCAAAATTAAACAAAAGCCAGTGCTAGTGCACTTATGTCGCATTCAGTCAAACAACGTATCGCCTAATTTTTTTATGTTTGTAGTGCTTCCAGAGATGCAGAGTTTTAATGGTTTTATCAAGGTAGTCGATCCACATGATTAAAATTTCCCTTCATCTGGAATTTAATAAATGAAGCATTATTAACAACAAGTGTAAAAATCAAAAATAGAATTATAACTTGGAGACAAAAAACTCCACATGTAGTGCTACTCAATAACTATAAAGTTCCCTGAAGGCAAATCATATAACTTGATCATTAGATTGGCAGTGAAAAAAGCTGCAGATCTTCGAAAGTAATTTTGGCATTTTCATTGTCTTTCATAGCTTACAACATAATAGTGTGAAATATGAAAAGATTTGTTATGCTGTTCCTATAGTTTATATTTGCCTCTTATGGCTGTTCAGCTTGCCTTGCCTAGCTACACAGAAGGTTAATAGGCTCAAATTATTCTACCAGTAAGTCAACAACTAGTATGGTCTGTCTATCAGTGACATTGTTTCAGTGAACTCCAACCGACTATATAGTAAGTATAATATGACAAAACAACATGAAAGTTTTTCTGTTGCAAGGATGCCTTTTTGTAGATTTTTTTAAGCACCGTTACAGAGTGGAACAGGCTTCCTTCGTAGATGCTAAACCTTGACTGCATTGATAAACTATCATCCAGCTTTCAACCGCTAATTGACAACACAAATTAGTAGATAGGCCCAAGCAACTCACCTGTACCATTCACTTTATGAACATTCTTGTGTCCTTTCTCACCATTGTGTGAATTTTAACCTTGCTTTGGCAATTAAGCGCTTGTGTATTCTGCAATCATTGTTACTGGCCTTTCAGATGGAAAATATTAAGGATATAGGCACTGACTTTTCTGTTTCTGTGCCCACATCCATTGACTATATCATTTTTGTTTCTTTATACCCTGCTGTACTATCATTAATTGAGTTTTTGTGCAATGCCTTGGCCTCTTCACAGCCAGGCAGCAAGTACCCCGAATAAATAAATAAACAACTTTGCTAAAACAACACTTTTGTAAAAAAAAATATTTAAAACTAGGCTGGTAAAGTTCCATGCCATTTAATTTATAGCTACTACAAGTCGCAAAACAACAAACAACTTCGTAAGCATGAGCTACAAAGAACAAAATTCAGGTCATTCACAAAACCGAGCTGACCAAGTCACATATATTTTATTACAGGTGGCAAAACAAACAGAAAATAAATGGGTGAGCCTGAGCTGCAAAAGAACAAAATATCTCACATCATGTTCAAAACAAGTTTAGTTAGACATTGAAACTATGCCTGTCATAAGTGACGAAAAAAAAAAAGTAACTAATTCAGGTTATTTACAAAACAAATCTCATGAAATTACATACAGCAAGCATATCTGTGATAAGTGACAAAACATCTTGGTGAGCCTGGACCATGAGCAAATATGGTCACTTACTAAACAAAATAAAATAAACACATAAGAAAAATAACATAGCTAACTAAGGAGACCACCAATTTCTCAACTTGTTTTTCAGGCATATTCAGCACTAAGGCCCTGTTACTATAGTCAGCGACAGATTAAAGACCGATATACGCTTTGTATATTCCATTTTTTTTGCACTTTCTATTCTCCCAAGTATCCCTCCCCTTTTCACCTTCATGCAGCATGGATCCCCTCACAGTTTGGGAGAGGAGGAAGCCAAGAAGATTATCTTCCCTGTAGAAGATTGAGGTCGTACATCGGCCTTTAAGAGTAAAGTGGAAGCTGTGCCTCCAACGCAAGGTAGCCTTGATAGCACAAGCGTGCCCGCGCAGCCCAAGCATGGCAAAAAGTAACGAGTGTGTGCTGGACGCGGAGTTTCCACTTCACTTTTAACGTGTCACTGACTATAGCAGGTGTTGGCAGTACCCAGAGAAAACTCTACTGGCCTTTAATCATTCACTCAAATGGAAAGGGTACAACTATTGAAGAGTGTAAAGGTATAGTCCAGATGAACACGTGACTCCGTATTCCAGTGCGCGCATCCAAGTTTTGACAGACGGGACTGCCATCTTCCAGCCGCACCCAGTCGTTTTCAATTTAACTTTTCTTAGGAGAATTGTGAAATATCCTTTGAAAACTGCCTATAATAAAGGCCGCTAGACTTCAACCACATTACCAGAGGTGTATAGTCATTTTAAGCAGCCGGGTGCGACTCAAGGACATCATTCCTGTGCACTAAAAACACATGCACATGACACTCCTCATTTGAGCAGAAAACATGAACTCATGTCATCTCAATCCCTTTCAATTCTGTTTGGGAGTTTACAAACAAAAGCCTTGTTACCAATATCTACAAACACACACACAGAGGATATCAGAGATAGAGGAAGTGCTTGAACGATATTGCTTGGAGAGATAAAACACTCTTGCATGTGAGCTGGATAATCACCGTCAACGGTCACTATTTCTTTACAAAGGAGAAGGCATGGCTTCGATGGAGCAGAAAGCTCTACGATTCTATTAATTACATAAAACAAAGAGTCTGACCCCATAATTACAGTACTGTTACTCTTTTTTTCACGGGTGTACTGCCTGCTTGTGATGATGTTGCCCTCAAAAACAAACCGGAAGTACTCTCCTACTGAGACTGTCTGAGGGTACCCAGCTTGAAGGAGAGCTTCTTGTTCACTGGCTGAAAGGTTGGTAACATTTCTTGCCTGACCCAGCAGAGTTACACCGTCCACCTCACATGCCGTCTGCACAAGCCGATGCTTAAGCATCTTGTCGCATACAGCTTTCACAGGCGATGAAATGTTTAATGTTATGGGCAACAACTCTACTTCTTGTGCCATGCACACACGCTCCAAAATCTGCAGGGGTACGCCCTTTGCAGCTGTCACACATTTCACAAGCTTTCCGTTTCCCGTCTCAAAAACAAACGCAGAGTGTGCCCACAGTGGTCCCAGGTCACGCACTGACTTTGCCAGATGCAGGAGCTGATGCATGTTGAATGTCATCATTTTCGCGTTATACAGTCGTAGCACCTGGTCCACGAACCTCTTGAGGAGTGATTCTAAAATAGAAAGAATTCAATTAAGAATTTATGGTAGAATGGCACAAAAGCTAGCGCAGATCTTCAAAAAACAATATTTGATGGGTACCAAATTCAAACATTCCAACTGAAAAGGCACGAAATTATTATAAAACTGAAAGTGCTGCTGCTACTATACTCCGTTCAAGGCTAAGCGGACAGGACGGAAGAAGCGAGTTACTTTTTGGGCCCAGTCAACGGTTGGTCTCGCACAGGGGCGGATTTAGAGGCAAGGTCCGGATGTCCTGACCCCCCCTCTTGATTTCTGCACGTGTAACTTTTAGGGCGTGAAACGAGGGAGAGGGTTCCTAAACAAACGGTACGCTGACCAACACCTGACCCCCCCTCAGGAAATTCCTGCACCCACCCCTGGTCTCGCACCACATGGTCATGCTCTCCATGTGCACTCATCCACACACAGCGGGGTCAGGTAATGAAAGGCAGGCGATTGATTGGTTCGGCAAGCATGTAGCTTCCGTCCTGCCATGTCAGCTTAGCGGTGCATGCAGTAATGTGGCAAAACTATGCGGAGGGCAAGTTCGTCTGCTTTTTGCGCAGGGGATAGCGGTGACGTCAGAACGCCGAGCCCTGATTGGCTGATCGCGACCACCCTATCTGAGCGTCGTCTGCTCGCAACGTCGTCTGCGTCTGTCCTACCTTTCCTGCGACTTTCAGAAGTGCAGAGGCCAGATTCACGAAACAATCTTAAGCCAAAAATGTGCGTAAGACATAACTTAAGAACAAATTCGTATTCACGAAACAAAATTTTCGTAAGTTTTGCGCAGGTTACGACGAAATCCTACGACAGCTCCGAAGGTGTCTTACGCACTCCTTACGATCAAATCAGCATGGCCAACAGCGTCGCGGTCGCGACGACCCACGGACGTTTATTTTTCTACGTGCGCTTCTCACGCGTCCTGACTTCAAGCAGCAAGAAAAAAGTAAAAAGTACTTGAAACAGACCACGACGAATAAGAACGCTGGATCCACAAACACCCGGGAAAAGCTCCAACGGCCACGATTCCACCAAACGCGACCAAGCGAGCACGGCCGTTAGGCCTAGAAGGCACTCCCCGACTCGGCGACCGTCTGCCCACGACCGGCTGGTGTGCTGAATGGAATATGCCCGCGTGACCCTTGTGAACCCTTCCCGTATTATACTTTGATCGCTGACCTCAGTTTTAGATTAAGAGGTCACTTTCTTCCTCTTGTTATCTCCTTGTTTCCCGAGGCAACGGTGACTCTCGCCGGTGAAAAAGAGGTGAATCTCCGACAGACGCAGGAACGGTAAAGCAGCCATCGCTTTGAATAAGCAGACGTAAAGCAGACGACGTTAACTGCGCCAACCCGCCGACGCCGTTAAAGAATGAGGGGTCTTGCCCCGCACGAAAGGAGGGAAGAAGTATTTGGGAGGGAACTTGCGGACACTAACACGCTCACTCTCGATTCTTAGCAAAGAAACCTCGGCGCCTCGGGACACCTCGCCAGTGACTCCTTTGACTTCCCTCCTTGATGCGTGTATGCTAGTTGTTAGACAGAAACAACGTACCGCTCGAGTTATTTCGTCTGCCCTCTCTGAAAGGCGAAGTCGAGCTCGCTCGTTAAGACCTGCACTTTTGAAAGCCGCAGGGAAGGTAAGACAGACACAGACGACGTTGCGAGCAGACGACGTTGCAAAGGAGCAGACGACGCTGAGATAGGGGGTCACGATCAGCCAATCAGGGCTCGGCATTCTGACGTCACCGCTACTTCCTTTCCCATGCGCAGAAGACGAAAATGAGCCCACTTGCGAGGCGTATTAGGACATAAAAAACCACGGTCATAAATGTGGTTTATAAGGCCCACGCTCATAACTCCCCAGTCAAATTTTAAAGCATGTTTCTAGATTTAGTTAAAGACGCCCCTCCAACAGATTCACACCACTCCCTCAGCCAATTACAGTTTCAGCTCGTTAATTCAAACTCGTGTGAGACCAAAGCTTTGTTTAATAATGCGGAGTTCGAACTAAAAGAAGTATTTTTTAATGAAGTGTGAACGCTTCACTTGGAGCGTAGGAGTGCACGGTAACAGAGAAACACTCCCGGATTGTAAAAATTGCATGGCTAATAAAGTATACCCCTTAACCATGAAACGCAAGGAGAAAGCAGCGCCGCATTGCTATGCACTTTCTAAGATGCGAAAAGTAAGCAACGTGCGTGACACCACCGATTCAGAGAAGCTGGAAATTACGCTGCTTCGGTCGCCACGCGTTACATACTTTCAGGCTTTCCGGTCAGATGGCTGTATATGCAAACATTAGTGCTGTACCAAAGCAAGGTCTACAAGAGAACAAATATTACTTGGTACGGGAAAAAACTGTCCTACCGGCATGGCTGATCATTTCTTGCGATATCCTTGTCGACAGCAGTATCCATATCGCCTCCGCAAGCAGGCACCAATGCTTCCAGTAGCGGTGAGGTAGCAGGTTCTCCAGACAAGGCACACTGTAGTAGAGCAGCCAGTTCCGCCACTCATTGGCTTTCCAATAGCTCCGCTCACAGAGAGAGCGTGGCAGGCGAGTGATGCAGTGAGGTGGCCGGATGGACATCAGGAGCTTGTTTGCAGATTCCAGAGACTGGGGACTTCCTGGAATTAATACAAACAAAAGAGATGTGCCATTAGCACTTAATATGCTTAAGCAATAGCAATGTGAGTACTTTTTCATCATTTAAACAGGAGACGATGGAAATAAGGGGGACAGGACATGCGTCTCAGTTGAGACGCGTGTCCTGTCCCCCTTTTTCCATCGTCTCCGGTTTTAACAATGTGCAACCTAAACCAGCTCGCCTGATTACTAAAGTTATCAGCTATTACTTTAGATTTTCATTTACAAGCTACAAGTGATTTGTCAAAGGAGAGATGAACATATGCTTCCCTTGACAAATTAAATTAACGGCAGGTTTTTTAAAGCATTGTGATTAACTGAAGGGATATGCAACAAAGTGAGGTGCTGCACTATTGTATATTTGCCTCATTTATAACATACTTGCCCTCAAAGGTATTGCAAAGTTTGACTTCACTGTCTTTTTTCAAAAATGTGGCCATGAGTATTTGGCATATCGGGCCTCACCAATTATGTGAGCAGTATGGCACTGCAAACTAAACCAGTGACCCATTAACCCACAACTTGTTCTTGAAGGAAACCAAACCAAGCCTTATTAAAAACAACTAAAAAGATCAGCCAAACTCGTATGACAGGTTCAAGCTGTAAAGCCTCAAGAAAGATTTAGAGGCGGCATGCTATTCATTTTTCGGAGTAATGCAAAAACAATCAAGACTTTTATTGAAGACAGTTCGAGCGCCGTTTTAGTATCCAGCATCGATACAAGTGTGTTACAAGTTTTCGGCTATGGGGACTGTGCAACGCCTAAATGGAGTACCCATGGATGGATGGGGGGATGAATCCGGCTGAGCCCTTTGGATCGGGCGGTAGCTTACGCCACCTAGCCACTTTGTTTTACCATTTAAGCTTAGAATGTTTAAATGTGAAATCTATATTCATTCTGCACTGCAAAGAAAGTGAGGCTATAAATCCCCCTTGCCATCCGTTAATAAGAAAATACCTAGTTTCCCCTTGCTTTCTGCCACCATTCACTTAATCTTTGCTTGGTAATCACAGATGCTCATTAATTCCTGCAACTCGGTCCTGTTAGCCATTAGTATGAAATCATCCGCATACATCAATCCCGGTAAGGATTGCTGAATTTTTTGGCCTAACTTACTGTACGAAAGGTCGAACCCGGTTTTGCTGTGGCAGCGCCACCAATGGCCACATCGATGTTACAAGGTGTTGTGACGCACCTCCCACTCCCTGCGCTTTCGTATGCATCCGTGACCGTGTCACCGTGTTCCCAAATTTGCTCAATCTCACTCAAGAGTAAAGGTGTCATCCCTTAGCATTCGAAAACCTACACATGTCCAGCGCTGCTCTACATATGCTTTAAAGGGCAACTTCGCTTCATTTTCGCTACAGAGAAAACACTGTGGACCTTTTAGTATCATCTCAGAAGACCACACATAAAGTATTACGATACAATTCCGTCTAAATCTATTGAAAAAAGGCCAGGAAACTTTGATACGAGCCCTATCACCAAAATCTGCTAACTCTAGCGGATGACGGAGGTGCAATTAACAGCACAGTCAATACGATAGAGTTGGCGCACCCAACATTGAGTCACTACCTCAGGGTCATGACCATGTGATGCACATAACATCAGTCATGTCCATGTTTTGTTTGTTTTTACTTCTCCGGGCAAACCGAGCTAGTGACGTCAGCAGCGTCTCCGCCCAATGTTGGCTCAGCGGCGTCCACGCGACCAGCGCCAATCCGGATGCCCGACGCCCCCGAAGCTTCTCAGCATCATCTGCTTCACCTTTGTTGCGATACCGACATTTTGTTTGTGCTATGTAGGCATACTTTGCAACTTATTTGTGTGATATTTAACAGAATTAACCATCTGCTAATGTTTACGGGATATTCTTTTAGGAATACTTGGCTATGCTTCCAATTAAGCGTAGTCCGCGCAGCTGACTCCTCCCCTTGTAGAGTATCAGATGATTGTTTGCACCATGCGATTTGTCAACGTTGCCTGTCAGAGTCGATGTTTCCCTTTCAATTCTGGTCGATATTGACACATGTTAAAAGCAAAATTGCATAAAAAAAAATTCAGATTTCACCATAGCAAATGGCCGTTTATTAGTGCTTTCAAGGGTGGGATCAGACATAATCCCAATTTTTCTGCAATTGAGCGGAGTTGCCCTTTAAAGGGACACTTCAACGAAAGTTGAAATATACCCGTCGTGTTCAAAAATAGGTTGAATATGGTCCACAATATCTGTAAATGACAATCGCACATTTTTATTTTGAACCTGGTGCCTGTATTTTTCGTTATAAATGGCAAATTTGGCAAGCGCTTGAAGAGCAGCCAGCGGAGAGCACGTGACATCCCCCGCAATTGTGACGTAGTTCCTCTCGGGACGAGCAAAGCTGCGACGAGGCTGACGTCGAAAGGATGGCCTAGTCGTTCCAGCCACCGAAGCGGCTGTTTTTGTATGAATTTCGAGTGACAGGTTAATCTTCTATAATCTCGTAGAGGGACAATAGCGACTTCTGGGACTCACAAAAGAGGTTCTCGGGGGGGGACAGGGGAGTTCCTCCTCCTCCTCTGCTCTCATGGTGACCGGGGGCGAGACAGTTAACGTCATTACCTGTCAAGGTTCTTAGACTGGCATTACAAACGAGGCGTTAGAGACATCCACCAGGTGCTCTTTGCTAATCGTTTAATTTGTTTCAAAATTCCTTTTCGTGTCTTTTTTTAACAAGATATTGGTGCGTCCAATGAGATACTGGTTTTTTGAACGCATATAGACCAAAAAATAAGCGCCAAAATTTCGTTGTAGTATACCTTTAATGTGATTTGGCTCGCCGGAAGGGAATATGCTGACATGTTAACTCTTTACTCCCATTTGTTTGCGGTGAGAGACATTACTGGAATAGAATTCGACAAATTGCTCGCTGCTCGCCTCAATAGGGTGAGTATGTCTATGCTGGAGTCTGAAGACATGGGCTGCGTTGGGAGCCACCATTACAGACATGGTGAACACATGGTTCAGACAAGAAACACAGCTCGTTTTGTGTTTAGCTTTTTGTGCCTCGTGACAACAATGCCAGTTCAATTTAGAGGGAGTGTGGATATGTATGCTATTCCTGAACAATTCTCAACTTTTCCTTACTGAATACGCACCTCACACTGGCCATCGGTGATTATCGTGAACGCCAGATACTCCCCCTATGAATCCTACTACAGTGGCACTGTCTTGTTGCATGCTTCCTACTGCATGTCCGTGCAGGTTGACCACCCAACATTTGCACAGCAAACTAACATCAATGCACTCATATTCAGGTTTGTCAATCTGGCTTCCCTGCTTATTTTGGTATAAAAAAGGGGAAAGGAGAAGCAAGACCACGCTTTCACTATTGTGCAAGAAGCCGTGAGTCAGATCACTATCCAAGTACTTTGTAGCTAGGGTTCTGCATTTTCCGAGTTTACTTCTAAGCAAAACCGAAGTTTTTTTTTTTTTTAGTTGGTTTTTATCATAAATTTGGAGTTCTTTGCAGCTTGCTTTTATGGTACATAAAGTTTTTTGTGTCTTTTTCAGTGAAGGAAATAAAGGGTAGAAAACAGCGCTTTGTAAATTTAGTAAAAAATCCTCTTCAATGTGAGACACATTAGATTATGGTCATAGGGAGGCTCCCTGATTTTTATAAGGAGCTACACGGCATTCTTTTGTAAAGCCCACAAACAAATGTTTCAACTAAAAATGGCTCCTTTTTGCCCACAACGTGCGAACAGGTTACAGCGACATTGCAGGCCAACTCTTTACGGAAAGTGTAAAGAGCAGCGGCTCTCAATGTCACGCTGGCGCACATCACAGTCTCCGGAACTGTGCCAGGAGGCCTCGGCCTTGTGCTGCAGTGTGTCGTTGCTGTATATGGGTGGCACAGGCGGCTCCTCATTGTTGTGTGATTTGCATACAATGGCTTTGGCAAACCACGGTGATACGGCGCACCCTGAGCACTATTATGCGACGCGATGCACACTTTGCGTGGCAATGCCATTTCGATGAGTCCTCTGGTGTGCCGCATGCTGGAATAAGCTTCCTAGCTGGAACGTCTCCTAACAAGGGTAAATGTGGGTAGCGTTTTGTACACATGTGCAGATGCACAGTAGCCATATTACACGTGAGGAGGGTGATTTGCAGCAAACGAGGGGCGAGGAGGAGGGGGAGTGGGGAAGCATGCGTGCAGGAGAACTTCCTGTGAGAAAACAGGGAAGCCTGCAAGGTTGATAGTAGTTACGACCAACAACAGACATCACAAACCCCATAAAGCGTCCATAATACAGCTATTGCTGAAAAAAGAAAGCACAAAACTTGTTAGAAGATTCCGGCAACATATAATTACCGGTCGGGTTCATGACAGCCAGCAGTCTCGAAAATGCTGAATCTTTCGGATAAATTCGAACCGACAAAGTTTTTACAAGCAAGTGCTTTCTTTTTTTTCTTTTGATTTTATCGGATTTGTTTGAAAACGCAAAACCCTACTTCTAGCTTTGAACCCTGAAAGTAAAAAGATGCCTTGATTAATAGTACTTGTAGGGTGATTGGCTTGAAAGAATTCAGATTTGTCTTAGTTAAAGTCTCTTATAATTTCGTCATTTGCATTACAAACTGTATGTAAATATGAGGCCTACACAGAAATCCCCACTCTTACCAATGTAAAACCTTTCGGCAGAGTTGGAGGAATCCAGCAAGTGCTCCGTCAGCTGCTTGGTCACGCCCAGAAGAACCGAGTGCATATATTCGCATGCCTGGCCGGACACCATGTCGTAGTTCTCCAGATTAATCAATGGAGAGGGTCCCTTGAAGCCGTTCACCGTTGTTTCATAGGTGACCGCATACTTCATGTCCCGCAGCACAAGCTCGTGGGTGCGTTCTTCGATTTGATGTGCCTCTGGAAACCGCATGGCACCTGGTAAGAAATATACCACAACAGTAAGAGCAAGTAAGCAAGCAGGCTGGGTGAAAGCAAAACTAAAACATGCTGGGCGCGAAGCTCTTAATGTGACATGCATAATTAAATATTTACCTTCCAAGTGTTCCCCAGCAACCATGCACCATGGGCAACCGAAGTACCCGTTGAACTGCACTTGATTTTGTACTGCGGCACGAGCTGGAGCATCGAGGCAACAACAGACAGCATAAACTTTGGATGACACCATTTGTGATTCTGCTTGCCAAATGATGGGATCCATGCTTGACAGATGCTCCACGAACTTGCCCACAAAAAGAGACATGTCCGGGTGCTTCGCTCCGAACCAGATGCCAGCGACACCACTGGCTGAGAAACGGTCCGGAGCAGGCACTTCGTTGATGACAAACTGCAGTGGCCAGACAGAGGCCTTTGAAGACTTGAAAATAGGGCTTCCATCTGTATTGAACGTCATTGTCAAGTCTCCCCACTGCAATGCTCCACTGGCTTTCATTTTTTTGTAAACACTCCCATCGGTTATGTCCGACATCGTGTCTTCGGGATTGCTGTTCAGCCTCTCCAAGTTTCTGTACAGCTCATCTGACGTCTTGCTGACGACTTGACGCACTTGATCCGACACGTCGAGGATTGTAAAGAAGTTCCCTTTACTGCGAAGCTCCGAGATTGTGGTACACTTCTGGCACGTTGTGCAGATAATCGTGGAAGTACCATCCTCCGGTGTCGGAAGGAAGCCTGCGCAAAACTCACAGTAGTAGTAGTCTGTTGAACGCTTCAGTTTAGAGGCCAACAGCTTCCGGAACAGGTACTTCGTTCGGGGCAGCACCTCCATTCCGCATATACGGTTGATCATTACGAGCAGCTTATCTAAGCCGCTCCACGTCAGGTTCTCGGACGTCACAAAAGTCATCACCATGGCTAGAACCTCTGCCTTGCTGATGTTAGATATCGGCAGAATCGCATGCTGCAAGCTTTCGAAGCAGCAGGCCACAATCTCCGCGGCATCGACAGTGGAGTCTTCCTGAAGTGTGTCGTCGAGCAGGCCATCGTCCCAGTTGTCAGGCTGCGTGTCGTTGCTGCCTACCTCGCCGAACTGGGGTCCACCTTCAGACGAACCTGCACCGTTTTCCGTTGCTTCTGCAGCTACTGCACCAGTCAGATTTATTGTGCTCTCGGTTTCGGAATCTGTAGTTGAGGCTTGATGCTCTTCCGCAGTCTCGTCAGGTGTACGGGCCAGCCTACTTCGGAAATGCCTTGTTGACGACGGAACGATGAAAGCTTCATTAGGCTCCAAGTACTTCTTCCTTGACCGTTTCCGCGGTTGGTTTGACATAGCAAACCAAGAACAGCATGGGACTCTGTGCGCAACCTCAACTCGGCTAAGTGAGTCACGAAGAAGAGCATGCAGACCACAGTGATGCAGACGCTCGACTCAACTCGACTTCAAAGCGTACCTGAGCCAACGTTGTCTCGCGGCATGAATAGCCCATAGAGTTATTATAATGTACGCTAGAGTTTCAACTGGCGCTAGTGTCTATGCGACTTCCGGGAGGCAAATTGAAGCAGACAGCAACCAGTCTACTTTTGCGGTGCTCCTGTGCATTCCTATGGGAAAACGCGCGTGCATTTTGTCTCTTCGCCGGAAAATAACACGAATGGCTTTTATTATTTCGGTTGTACCGGATAGTATGTACACTTATTAATATTGTAAAAGTGTAATTGCTTTAATTACAACATTTTTCTTTACCACTGAACGATGTTAAGCTTCGCTATATTTCAGGCCCAAACCTATGTTCCATGGCAGGTATGTAAAAACAAGCGACGATTCTAAGCAAACTAACGATCGAAAAGAATGTAGAGTGTGTTCAAGGTTCGCTAGCATTGCGGTGGCGCTTATATATTGCTAATATGTCCGTCCTGTCACTCTATGAAAATGACTCCGTCGTGCATCTTCACGACGGTTAAAAAACATTCGAATGTAAGAAATAAAGTACGTGGACTACGAAAGGTGTGCCTTTTTATTATTTCTTATGTCGGGCAGTTCTTATCGGGCCCCTGTTCTCTGACTTCTCCCTATTTGCAAAGATTTGGAGCGTGCGGTTGATGATTTGAACCCAGAACATGCATCTTCGCGCATATTCATGAGTAGAAAGAATAAAGCAGTACTTATTTATTGCAAATCGGACTATATTAGGTGGCTTTCAATTTATTTTGATAGCCTGCATGCACAAGGAGTTACTTATTCAATGTTACTGCGTAGTTCTTGCCGTCTCTCTTGGTTTTCCACATGTCCTTCGTTCGTTTGACACGTATATCCCCATGGTGGAAAGCGCCGATGCCGTGTTCGCGCTAACAGTGTCCGACAGTGCAGATAAATACACGTACGAAGCCGTTTTAGCACCGTTTTGAATCCGATGAATTTGAAAGAAAAACGCCGTAACTGACCAATTATTTCGTCGGCCTGACTGAGAAATGTTCCAAGCTTCCTAGTACGTACGAATTATTCGTGATATTTGCTCTTATATTCGAGCGCGGAGAGAAAATGTACTCGTTTTTTTTTATAGAAATGCATTACCGGAAGTCAATTTCCGACTGGTTGCTGTCTGCTTCAATTTGCAGCAGCACACTAGCGCCACTTGAACCTCTAGCGTACATTATAATAACTCTATGGAATAGCCAACATAATACATTCATTGGGGGATGTGCATTGCTCATAAGTGAATGGTGGACTGATAAGAATTATTAATGACAGTTTAAGTGAAAGCGATGGTTGTTTAAGTGTTTTTGGTTCCTCATTTGGTTCCCACACCTCATTTTTCAATAGTAATTCCCTGGGTGTCATGACTAGAGGGCGCGCTATGTCGTCCATAAGTGAAGTTGATTAGTCCCGGTCCCGCGCGCATACCAGAGCCGTATATGCTTTGATGCAGACGCTCTTCGGCGTACCTCATTGTTTTGAAAGCAGAAGTTCTTCGGTGTACCTTTTTGTTTTGAGAGCCTAGTAGCAGCGCGGCAGCGCGAGTGATGTTTGCTCATGTGCGCTATGTGGAGGATAACCTCAAGGCGGTCGTGTCCGTGACGCTGATCCGAAACTTCAGCCCCAAGAGCGTTTCGGATTACGACAAGGCGCACCTGTACGAGACCTACTGGAGGAGTCCCCAGGGAACAGAGGAAGGGTATTATTCAGCCCTAATTCTGCAAATGGAAGGTAAGACACTTTTCAATATGAGTTAAGCTATACGCGCTACGTCGTGCACCTCGATCGGTAATGGATTTAAGCACGACGCGAAACTCCTGAAACACGACTGGTTGGAACAAGTTTCCGTAGTGGTGGTGTAGTATAGGCAATAAAGAAAAAAAAAAAAAAGTGGTCTTTTCACATGTTCCTGTCCCCGTTTGGGTCGGGTTCGATCCCCAGTGAAGCTTACTTTTTTTTTTTTTTTTTTAATCCTTTGAAATGTTTGTTTTTGTTGAGCATGTAACGATATTTACAACATCTTTTTTTTTTTTTTTACACAATGAACACACACACACACACAAATAAAAAAAAATGTTGACGAAATTTTGCTGAACTAAGAGGACGGGACTTTCTTTCCGGAGGTGCAGTCGGGGACAGCGGGGCTTGGGTTGCCGGCTGGACGGGCATGTGGGTTAATAGTTTTGCAATTAGCAGCCGCACACTGTCGCCGCGAAGCACCGTGAACGCGGGCGGAGGACTGCCTTAAGACGCCCCCCAGTGATACCCTTTTTGTGACACTAAATAAATTCTCAACTTTCCACCCCAATACACGTATGGAGAGAGACTAGTTCCAATTCAAAACATGGAAAATGACAAAATAATTAGCAAATTCAGTGCAGCAGGCCTCATGGAAAGATATCAAAATTAATCTACTAAATTTGGCTTTTTTTTTTTTTTTACTTCCCCTGCCATCTGTCAGCTGTTCTACGAAGCTTCGAGATACACACGGGCTGATACGTCCGAAGGATAGTTGCATTGATATTGCAGACTCTTGATGAGCTGTACTCGTGTGATGGACAAGCGCAAATCATCTTCTGCGCTGAAAGGGTTAATCAATGCCTCTTTTGATGTTTAGTGATCATAAAAATGCATTTAATAAATCACTATACTTTTATTATTGAATATGTGGCTTACACGACTTACTCTTTTTGTGCATCGTGACGTTGCCCTGGAAAATAGAGCATACCTGAACAACCGATTATGCGGTGGTCTTCGTGCAGCAATAAGCAAAAATTCTGAGCAGCAAATATCCTTCCTGCGTTCATCAGCAGTTGATGATAGAGTTTCAGTAAAAATCTCACAACTTAATTTCTTGTTTTTTTCTAAAACAGAAAGTAAGGAGGATATGATTCAGAACCTCCTGAAGTCAAGAGGCACAGCTCTTCCTGTGATCTTTGAGGACCCAAAGACTGCCATTCAGGTGACCTTCTACCTATATGTCTCAGATTAGTAGTAATATATACATTTTCCAGGCAACTCACGCAATATCAAGGAAGGAAAAGGCACTTGCCCAGAAGGTTGCGAGAAAAAAAGAAATGAAGGCGATTCTGGGAAAGAGAAGACAGGTGGCACTGAGTGAGACGAGTGATGATGACGACGAAGAGCTTGTGCCTCGAAAGCTGCTGACGATTGAGAAGCAGGCGAATGCTGAGCTTGAGAAGGAGCTGGAAAGGGTACGAGGAGAACTAGCGGCTTCAAGGAAGGAGTTGGAAGAAGAGCGGAAATTAAGAACAGCCCTTTCTTGGACGCTTCTTTCGAAGTTTGGTATGTGATAATGCTGATAAGCTTGCTTGTTAGCAATTATATAGAATGATCCCCAAGCCTCTAATTTGTGAATGTTCATACAGACGATGATGGACTCCACATCGCCAAGGCACGCCCACCACAACAGGCAAATGTCAGCACGCTGGGGTCAGTTCTTTTCCTCCTCTTTATGAGAAATGCACCATTTGTAGCAGCTTCAGTAAATTGCATTCTTTTATGCGTTACGATTATACAACATCTCTCCTGCTTTCATAACTACTGGTCGACATCTACAGGGCTCTACCCAACATTAGCACGCCTCTCGCTGGAAAAAAGACTGCGACCCACAAACCACAAGGTGTGGCAGCTACAAGTGGCAGCCAGCTTGGGCAAGTTCTTGAGCCTTCCTTTCAGAAAGAAATTAGTAATTTTTTATCGTCTCGTCGTGCTTCTTTGGCGCTTTAGGAATTAAGCCTTGTTCACATAGGTTGAATGAGCTTGTCATTAGTAATAACTCCAGCTTTCATATCTTCCTATCGGCATCTTGACAGGGCTCGCCCCAGTATCAGCACGCCTCCCAGTGCTGGAAAGAAGACTGCAACCTACAAACCACAAAAGGCGGCAGCTGCGAGTGACGGCCAGCTTTGGCAAGTTCTTGAGCCTTCCTTTTAGAAAGAAATTATTTCCTTTAGATTTCCTCGTCATGCTTCTTAGGTGTTTTGGGAATGCAACCATACTCTCTTAGGTTTAGCGAGCTTGTCATCACTAGCATCTTCTGTTTTCATATCTTCCAATTGTATATCGTGACAGGGCTCGACCCAGCGTCAGTATGCCCCCCAGTGCTGGAAGAAAGACCTCGTCCCACAAACCACAAGGGGCGGCAGTTACAAGTAACGGCCAGCTCGGGCAAGTCCTTGAGCCTTCCGTTCAGAAAGAAATTACTTTCTTTAGATTTTGTCGTCATGCTTCTTAGGTGCTTCGGGAATTCAACCATATTCTCTTAGGTTTAACGAGCTTGTCAATACTAACATCTGCTGCTTTAATATCTTCTGATTGGCATCGTGACAGGGCTCGACCCAGCGTCAGCACCCCCCCCAGTGCTGGAGAGAAGACTGCGGCCCACAAACCACAAGGGGCGGCAGCCACAAGTGACGGCCAGCTTTGGCAAGTTCTTGAGCCTTCCCTTCAGAAAGAAATTATTTCCTTTAGATTTTCTCGTCATGCTTCTTAGGTGCTTTGGGAATGCAACCGCACTCTCTTAGGTTTAGCGAGCTTGTCATCACTAGCATCTGCTTTCATATCTTCCAATCGGCATCGTGACAGGGCTCGACCCAGCGTCAGCACACCCCCCAGTGCTGGAAGAAAGACCTTGGCCCACAAACCACAAGGGGCGGCAGCTACAAGTGACGGCCAGCTGGGGCAAGTTCTTGAGCCTTCCTTTCAGAAAGAAATTACTCTCTTTAGATTTTCTCGTCATGCTTGTTAGGTGCTTTGGGAATTCAACCATATTCTCTTAGGTTTAACAAGCTTGTCATTACTAACATCTGCTGCTTTAATATCTTCTGATTGGCATCGTGACAGGGCTCGACCCAGCGTCAGCACGCCCCCCAGCGCTGGAAAGAAGACTGCTGCCCACAAACCACAAGGGGCGGCAGCTACAAGTGGAAGCCAGCTCGGGCAAGCTCTTGAGCCTTCCTTTTCTGAGAAATCAACATTGCCATATGTGCTTTCCTATGCTGATCAGCTGCTTGGACGAATGAGGCATAGCTTTCTTGGTGTTATGAGCTTGTCATTGACAACATTTTTCTTCCTTTTATATATACCAGTCAGCCGAGTCCTGGGGTTCCGGAGCAAGTCATGGGCCCACCTATTGAAGCCTTGGTGAGAACTTGCTATTTATTTCTGATGCCCCTGCAATTAGGTGTCTGTTTTTCTAACCTGCATTTGCATTACAGTCTAAAACATGTTTCTGAAAGGCCTAAATGTATAGCAAACTTACAGGTATTTCAGACATTGTACTATCAAAAATGTATCAAAACACCTTGCTAATTGTGTAGTCCACATTGCAAGCTGATAAATTTGCACCTTGTGCCGAGTCAAAGAAGAGAATCTTTTACTGGTGCTCGAAGGAGTTTGCTGAGTAGAAGCAGACCATGCAAAGGCATGTGGCAGGGATGTATTTCTGCAATTTTCCTGTTCGACAGCAGGTGTCACATGACAGAAAGTGGCGAGTGTTCAGTGAGGGCTTGGTGGCAGTAGAGAGCATGGTTAAAAATCGCGCACAAAGAGATGAGGATGAACGAGGGAGGAACACAACACAGACAGGCGCGCACTCACAACTCTGGTATATTAAGTGAAGGAAAGAAAGGTGAAGCACAATTTTTGGGTGTATCTCAAAACGTCCCATTCGCATTTGAACCTTGCATATTTCATCCCATTCTCATTTGGTCCTCGTTTGAACCTTCTCGTAAGATCCGAATCGTTTTTTTCGCAACTGGGCCCATTCTCATTTTGCCCGTTATCTGGAAACGTCCCATTCGCATTTGGACCTTGCTCATTTCGTCCCATTTTCATTTGGTCTGACTTGTTTGAACCTTCTCATAAGATCCAATTGTATTTTTCGCAACTGGACCCATTCTCATTTCGCGCTACGACTGAATGGCACTAGTTTGGCATGCTTTCAACGTCGTCATGCCTTTGCGACTTTGTTGATGAGCCTTACCTCGCTTGGGCCCCCAACATACCATCAGATATATTTTATGTGTAGAGGTACGCACTGAGAATCGTACAATGACACCTGCTTCCCTTCCTCAAAACAAACGAAAAAAAAAAAGTGATGAGCATTTAATTTGGAAACTTTATTTGAACAGAAATAGCATACATTATAAAAGTGGTGGCATTGTCCCAAGTCGAGAGACCTTAAAGGGCAACTCCGGTCCATACTTTCGATTTTGGGATTATGACTGTTTTTAGTGCAGTCAGCGTCCCTGAATTGCAAGGGGCAATTTTTTTCTCGTTATTGTGCATAGTTTTAAAGATATTGACGCCTCAAAGTTCTGTTTGGGGTGCGGCCAACAAAACCGAAACTAGCCACTCGAGGCCCCGGCAACACTGGAAATCAGCCGCAATATGAACGTGACGTCAGGATCCATCTCGTTCAACGAGTACGCAGGCCGAGCGGCACCTATCTCTGTTGCGCTAGCCGTCTAAAGATAGGAAGTAAGCTGATTTTGTTTTAATTCTTTATTCGTAGTTATCCAGCATATGTAGCAAGAGTTAGTACGTAGACCCAAAAGCTAGCGACTGGAAAACCCATGAACTCGTTCGGTGCCGTACTCGGCGGCCGCCGCCGTGCGTGCGCTATGCCGTACTCGTCGCTTGTTTACCCAAAAGCTAGCGACTGGAAAACGAGTGAACTCGTTTGGTGCCATAATCAGCGGTTGTAACTTGGCGTGCGGTCTTCCGTACTCGTCGCTAGGCCTAAATTGTCGTCTGGGCTCCGTGGATGGAGCGGCGTTGCTCTACACCGCGCTGCCAGTGACAAACAGTAATGGGGGCACTCTCGCTTTCGCGCTGCGGGTCAGTCCCAGACACGAAGATTTGAGGCTCTCCGGCGTGGGCCGCGGCGTCCGAATGCATGTGTGCTAGGCTGTACACGTCTGTTTTTTTGTTTCCATTTTTTTCTTCCTTGGGTGCGTAAAAGCCGAAATCCAAAGTTCACTCGTCGAACCATGTTCACCCACACCTTTTCCGATTTCCGGTCCGTTGGAAACTTGTGAAAAAGCACTTCCAGGTTGCGCAGCGGGTTGTTTGAGCAGCCCACAGCGCAACAAGTTGTACTCGGCATCTTTTGAGGAATAGCTGGGCAGTCTTGGGGACACTGAGTTGCCCGCTAAAACGAGTCTTGGAGTCCTCACAAGCAAATAAACAAAAGGCTATACCAAAGCTACACGGGCTATGGATAAAAGCAACGGCTAAACACGCCAATCACAAGCCGAAGTAGCGGTGGTAACAGCTCAAAAAAGCGCAATGCGCGCAACGCCTGGACCGGAGAAAAAATTGAGAACGATACCAACGTCATGGCCCAATGTTGCTTTAGCGATCGGCAACCCGCTGGCCGCCCGCTAAGGAGCGGCGGCTCGCATTTTTATTAATGGCATTAGTTGAGAATGGGGCATCCGTGGGACGCAATTTTTTGGCTGGGGTTGTATTTTGTGTCACTAGAGCGATGCCGGTAACTTATTTCATTTTGAGTTTTGGCCGGAGTTGCTCTTTAAACAATGTGACATTTCGGAGTATGATCTGGCTGCGATAAATAGTTGGTCTGTTTTATTGTCAGCTAGTAGCTTTTCACGACGACCTCGACGTACTGCTAAAATCCCTAGCAGAGAGAGTATGCCGGTAGCGTGGCACGCACACACACACACACACACACACACACACACACAAAATATATCAATGTATTTATTAATATTACCCGAAAAAAGAAAACAATTTCGGTATGGAAAGATTCAAGTGCGACGAGTCCAAGAGAGAAGATCCTTTTGAGAGTGGTTGCTTTGAGGAGGGCCAAGTGAGAAGGGCGAAACAAGAACGGGCTCAAATGATAACCACCCCAATTTTTTTGCAGGGGACACCGGCACCAGGGGGTAAGCAGTTCAGTCGCAGTCAAATTTTCTCAAGAAGGCAACTTCTTGCGAACATTAGACAATAGAGAGGTTCTGCAGGGATGCTGGATGATGTTGAGCAAGGTTCCTGAGCTCAGGACCTCATTTGTTCTTGCTGTCTGCTGAAAATTATCATGCTTGTGCTACGTCAAAATTATTATGGACGATTGTGGCATCTATGCATGGAAGCAAATTTATTGCACGCATGGGTGATCTGTTGGGTCCAACAAAGTTTTCTTTGCTGGCAAGTCATCTTGGTTGCAGCTGTTTTCATAGTGAGCATTTTTTCGCAGCATTCTGTGCACACAGCAGAAAACCATGCTGGGGACCGTGGCAAGGACCAGGACAAACATATTGAGGCGGACCTCGGGGAGGATCTTGTTGAGTGCGCTGACTGGGACATTGATTGGGACATTGATGAAGATGTTGGAGGCGACGTCGGAGGCCACTTCGCAGAGGACGGCGGAGATGGAAACGACATTGATGAAAACATTAGAGGTGGCGCCGCAGATGGAGACGCCGTCGGCGAGAACGACAGCTCTTCTGTTCCACTTTTCCAAGTGCAGGAAGGACAAGTAAGTATCTTTCTTGAGTCAGTTGTGCATTTTTTATTAAAATGATAAATGAAACCCCTTGTACTTCTACATTATTTTTATTGGGCAGTCTATGCAGTTGTATTGATTGATTTTATGGAATATATACAAGGACTGAAATAGTTTTTTAGACAGCATATCATGTATTTGTGCAGTCTGCTTTCATGCACAGCTTTTGAAGTTTCCTCCTCTGTGCATTTTTTAAAAGCTTAGCAAGAAATGTGGGGATCTCAATAGTGGTTTGAATTTAACTGCTCTCTGTGATTTAAAAGTGCATGTATCACAGGCTGTGCAACAATGTTCTAATCTTTTCAGATTCATGTGGGGTCAAATATCTTTCTACTGAAAAAAAAATTTGAATTCGTATTTGATGCAAAAACCGACTCGATGTGCGTTAAGGACGCAGCAAGGACCATCTGGTCTACAGCAGAGCTCCTCGAGCGCAGCGTCAGTGGGAAACCTTGTAAGAGGTACCTGAAACTGGGTGCCTTGGGCAAGAAGAGAATGACCCCTGAGAAGAAAGGGGCTGTTTTGAGTAAGTGGTTTCATAGCTCAATTTTCTAAGCTGCTCGCAAGTGTTTCCAGTGTAGAAATTGAAAGCTCTATGCTCATTGTCACCTCCATATAAAAGCATGTTTCACACTAAATTCATATGTGCCGTGAAGTCGTCAAAGCTTGGCTAAGGGGTTTCTCCTCCAATTTTTTTCATGGTCTCTGATTTTCCTTGTACTTGGTTCAACACACCGATAGACACGGCTGAACTCAAATAAAATTTTGTCTCGAAGTCATTCAATTTTCAAGCATGGGGTTGCACCGTTTTATTTTTTCAAACTGAAAGCCACTACGGACAACACTGAAAAAGTGATGTCAGTAAGAGGCATAGGTTCGGTGTTTGGGCGGTTAATCTCGTTCCCAACTGATTACACTAAGTTCCACGGTGTGAAACAAATGCTATTGAATCCCATTCCAATCTTGACTAGTAAGCAGCACCAAACAAAATCTGCGACGTGCTCTATCTCTAGACTGCCCTCTCGGCCTGCATGTCAGTGTGTCCGTAATGTCACGCTACTGGAAAGCACAGGAAATTTTGAATATTTTGTTTTAGCACCATTTTTGTTCACTGTTTTCTCTATTATTATTCCGAGTCTCGAAAAGGGCAAGGACCGTGTATTCAGGAAATATAGTTAGTTCGGGTAGACCGAAAATTCGTGGGGTACCCCTTAAAGCACCCTAGTTCAAGGGTATTATAGGGAGGGGCATATCAGCAAATTATAAATTTCTACAGAAACAAAGAACAAGACAACGACGATGACAACAAGAACAAAAATGACATGCTGTCAGAACTAAGATAGTAGAAGCAACCAAAAACACAGGAAAGCTATGCTGCATGCGCATACAAGATAGTGGAATTCCTGAAAATCACACGTTCTGTGATAGAGACTAGCATCTCCGGAAGATTGTTGCAGTCCACAATAGACAATTTGCTATTTTCCCAAGCACCCCGGCCCACGCGCAAGTAATTGTGGGAGAGACTGTCCCTCGCCTGGCCGCTCTGCCTTGAGATCGCATTGCCGTGTCGCTTGCCTCCTCTTAATCCTCTGTTTTTCGATTTCATTACCTGTTTTTATGTGTTCAAGTGTATTTTTTTATTGCTTCTCAGTGTTTCTATTCTCTTCTGCGAGCGATATTTCTTGTACATATATAGTATTTGTGTGTTTATTTTTCCTTTTTCGACGGGGGTGCCGACGGACAACACGCCGCTTCGCGCGTCGTTCCCCGGTTGAGTACTACCGTTGCTACCGATTTCTATCGCACTGTTAGCTGTTCATTTTGGTTCAATTTGACCCGCGTGCAGTCGAGACAAGCTGTTTATGAACACCCGCGCACATGTCATAGGGATACGCAGAGCTCTGAATCAACAATTGCAACACGAGAGCCGAGTGTGCAGTGATATGGCCGCCCGCACTCGCTCCGTTGACTCGCACTGTAGCGTATGCCTTCGAGTGCCGCTTACTTGACCAAGATACAGCACGCCGCTTTGTTGCCGTGAATAATTTTTATAAATGCCTGCAAAACCGTAACACCGTTCGACGGCATATCCAACGCTGCGGCGCCTGACAACTGCACGCAGCAGCGCGCAGTTGTCAGCACTTGCAAAAGGATATTTGCAACTGACAACCACTTAGCAGATAGATTAAGAAGGCATACTATAAGCGCATATAAGCCACGACGTTGGGCCACCGGCGCTTGCGAAAGGCTCGCGTAGCAACACGCAGTTGTCAGGCGCCGCAGCGTTGCACATGCCTCAGTTTCGCAAACATTCGGACAAATGATTCGCTGCGACAAAGTGGCGTGCTGTATGTTGGTCAAGTAAGCGCCACTCGAAGGCATACGCTACAGTGCGAGTCAACGGAGCGAGCGCGGGCGGCCAAATCACAGCGCACTCGGCTCTCGCGTCGCGATTGTTGATTCAGAGCTCTGCGTATCCCTATGACATGTGCGCGGGTGTTCATAAACGGCTCGTCTCGACTGCACGTGGGTCGAATTGAACCAAAATGAACAGCTAACAGCGCGATAAAAATCGATAGCTACGGTAGTACACACCCGAGGAACGACGCGCGAAGCGGCGTGTTGTCCTCTCGGCACTCCCGTCGAAAAAGACAGAATGAAGACACGAATACTATATATATACAGGGAATACTGCGCGCAGAAGAGAATGGAAACACTTAAAAGCAAAAAAAAATACACTGGAATCGATAAAAATATGTAATGGAATTGAAACACAGAGGATTAAGAAGAGGCAAGCAACAAGGCAATGCGATCTCAAGGCAGAGCGGCCAGGCGAGAGACAGCCTCTCCCACAATTCCTCGTGCGCGGGCCGGGGCACTTGGGGGATTTCGCAAAAGGTCTTTTGTGAGAAGTAGGAGTGAGTTGTTAAATGCATTAGTTGAACCGGATATGCGCTGAAAGTAGTAGGAGTTGACATGACGACTGCGCAGGAGTTTGAAGGAATAAACTTCTGATAGTGGAATGATTGTGATAAGAATTGTTGATTAAGCAAAGAGTAAAAGTAGATAAATCTAGGTTTGTTTTATTGCAAATAGATTTCTAAAATTGTAATTTGACAAGATGTAGCAGGGTGCTCGATTTTGGACTGCTTCATTTCGTTTCACAGTGAAACGTATACAGTGTAGACCGCATGTAACGTATGTCGCGGGAGTCGCGAAAATCCGCACTATAAGCGGTACCGCGCTATAACCAAAACATCAATTTTTCAGGCCAAAGTACATGCCATGAGACAACTTACCTTTGTAAAACAATTTATTTTATGTTAGATGAAAAATAAAGCTTAGTTTGAGGAAAGTCTTTATTTCACCAGACTAGTACACTTCTCTCTCAAGTGTGTCACGCATTTTGAAAGAAATGAGCGACTTTTGCCTGGCGCAGCCTTTTAACGGCGTCGCGGGTTGCGGACGGACGTTGCGAGCGTTCAGGATTGCTAACCCTATTCACTTTTCTCCGGCGATGAAAACGCGTGAAAATTCGCATCCTTTATACGGTATGCGCCAGTAATACCTTCAACTTGAGCACAGGCATGAAATGCTCCAAATAAGAAATCCGGGCGATGTTCGAAAAGCACAAATGCTTAGAAGCACCACTGTAGTCGAAGTAAACAAACACGACGACACGGGCGTTTCTGCCGTCTTGAGAGCGCCGCCACGACATCGCCGCACGAGTATGTGGATTTTCCCTTCTAGTACGTGCTGGGTTACCATAGCGACACAACGAAAATTTACAGTCAAGGATAGGGCTTTTACGCGGTACGATGAGCTTCTACCAAAACTGACGCCATGTTTGCGGATAGAAGCAGCCGGCCCGCGACCGGCATGCAACGCGCGCGAACACTTCTCCTCGACCTGCGATTGGTCTGTCGTTGCGGTTGTTTCCAATGCAGCGGAGGTACGCACGCACGTGAACGACACGTGCATGCGTCCCTCCGTCGCTATGGCAACTGAAGCCTCTCTTTTCGCTTCTTCGAGCAACCTCCTTGCCCCGCGAGTGCCGTTTGCGGCTCGCACCGTTATCTAGTGTCGCACAGGGAAGCGTGCTCGCTGCGTCGGCGTGGTCGGGGGGCTGTTGCAGAAACCGCACTATAACCGGTATTTCCCTTCGTGCGCCTGCATTTTAAGCGGTATGTAATTACATGGAGTTCTATGGGAGGCGAACCAGTGGTTTAAAAAAGCCGCGTTATACCCGGTCCTGCACTATGAGCGGTTACGTTGTAAGTGGTCTATACTGTACTACTAAACTGTTATACAGCGCAGTGTCAATCAGCTTTTAGAATTCCAATTGTTTTCAGATATGTACAGGAAGTACATCCAGGACAATCCCTCCGTGAAGGAGATAGCCGTCCTGGCCGACCCAAATCTCTCTCCCGACAAGAGAGTGGCTGCTGCCGCAGCGATGAGGGAAGCTCGTCTCAAGAACATGAACAAGTACATTGCTGAAATGTGTAACGACCAGCAGAAGAAGTAAGTTGGGTGTATTATAGTGCCAGCATTCATTTGCGTATTAATTTCCCTATAAAGTGTGGAAAGAAATGCCATATATGTTCTACGTTAGAATCCTGACTTATGTATTATTGAGGATAATTTGACTTACAAATAGGATTTTATGATCACCTGCTCTGTTTGTAAACCTTTGGGTGCAGTGCAAGCAAACATATGTTAGCACAGCATATCTGTTCCCGGTGTACACGTTTTCCTGGCTGTTATGTTCATGAGCACCAGTCTTGTTGAGCTCCCATAGGAATACCTCCATTAATTTTCCGTCTTTTGAATTCGCGTTCCAAAAGTTTCTTCCAAGTATCTGCCTACGCAACCAGGCAACACGTTGGGTTGTGGAGTAGCCAAGTTTGGCCTGAGATGGAATGACAGAAATCTGTTATAACATGCGAAATGTATATTTTGATTCTTTCTCTTTCTCATGATTATGATGAAAGTTGTATTCTAGTCTCCCTGCATTTTTAATCTTTCTACCTCTCTATAAATGGTAAAAATGCAGTACTTCAGGACAAAATATTCTAGATGCAATTATGACTGTATTAGCGGCGATGAAAACTGAAGGTAGTTGGTTGTTTTTTTATTTTGGTCATAAGCTGTTATAACTCAGCTGTATGGGTAGCTATTAGTGTTTTGGCAACGTTTATTATTGCGTTGATATTAATGCACTAGAACCCAGATAACAGTGAAAAGATGACAGGGTCCGTCTGTCGACAAACCAATGGAGAGGGAAGCGCATTGGGTAGAGAGGAGGAGAGTAGTGAAGGACAAAGGCGAGAGGGAGGCGACATCACAGGGTTGAAGCCTATGAGTGCGAGCGGCGCGGGGAATGAGAACGGGTGACGTCACGGCGCAGCATGCCGAGTGGTGGGGCTCCAGTTGCTGGGGCGAGTCTGAACTGTGCGGAGCGTGTATGCCTTCGTTTGGAAAAAAATTAAAAGGGGACCCATTGGTGGATTCTTAGGAAATGCGTTAGCATTACCTTTCGGAAACTCCACACGTGACCCTTTTTGGGAAGTGCTAACACTGACCCTGTAACGAAGCCATAAAGAGGCAGCAAAAAATAGAGGAAGCCAAAGAGTAAGCCAGGACAGAAAAGTGATGAGGTCATCGTTAGCATTTCCCAAAGGGGGTTATGTGTGGAGCTTCCCAAGCGTCATGCAACACATTTCCTATTAATTAGGTACAAATTTTCAGGGCTATGCATACAAGAGCGAGTCAAACATGCTAAATTACCAATCCGGTTTCTATTCTGCTTTTGAACTTGCAGGGACAAACTTGCCCGGGCACTTTTCGTGGAGGAGAGTGAGGTAAGATCATTAAGACGTTAATGGGCAATTTCTCGTGAAGGGTTGGAAGAAGGTTAGTTTTAGACACTGTCATAAAGCAGGATGGGGGGTCAAACTTGGGTTTATTTAGATATGCTGCATGCCTTAAAGTGCTTTAAAGGGCCCCTCCAACAATATTTAAGCATCTGCTTTTTTTGCGCTTTCCGCCTTTTTAGCGGCTTGGGAGATGCTGGGAACAAAAACGAAACCACAAAATAATAGTGTTTCGTATGGTGGCGCTGTGTGGTGCTAAATGCAAGCGACTGTTGACGTGGAGTAACCTGTTTCAGTGACCAGAGTCATCAAACGTTTCTCTCTGGGCATGGAACAATATGTTTGATTGTGTTCCCCGTCCTTATTCTGTATAAAAGTTGTTTATGTTGAGTTTTGAGAGCATTGAACTAAACAGAGTTTCAAAACTTGTGTAAACAACGAGAACAGAACATAGTTGACTTGCCCCCGTGAGGAGCAGTGCCATGATCCCACCATTGGAGGTTCTTGATATGTAATGGAGTCTGTTTTCTTGATTGATTTTGTCATTTTAAAATTCTCATAACTTCTGGAATAATGGGAATTTTGTAATGAAAATTGTTCCTTCATGTTACTACATCGTCTGAGGTTGGCCTCACCGCAAGTTTTAACCAGTAAAACGATTGTTGGAGGGGCCCTCTAAATATTACGCCTGAAAAGAGATTTCTTTTTCCTAAAAGTTTTGGAGTCGAAACTGGCATATTTTTGGGCTTAAAGGTATGTCGCCATGTTTTAGAAAATCCTTTTAGATTTTGATCTTCAAACATGTACATTATGTCTGCCTTGTGAGGGGCAGTTTCGTAAAGCCTTTAGGTGTGTTATCAAACTAAAAATAAAACAAATAATACTTTTTAATAAAATGGCCCCCAATATCCGTGTTATAACAACCGTAACGCAATTCGGGCACAGGCACGGGAAATGGCTTGGTCGTAATGTAGATGTATGAGCAGGCTGTCCGGTGAGCCAGAACCTTTGGATTGTCGTAAGTGTGCTATAGCCAAAGTACCAAAACTTCTGTCATTTTGGGTGGTGGTGTTTCAATTCAAGCATCATAACATCAATACTTATTTGTAATTTTCAATTATCCTAGTTGGTTGCACAATCTAATGTGTAGGAAAGATCTGTACCAAATTTGCTTTGAAAAATGTTTATTTATAATAATGTTACGGGCGTTCTCACAGCGAGAAACCTTAGAAAATCAAGTTTTGAGGAAAGCAAAACTCCTCCTAATTTTTCGAAGCTGTTATTTCTACCATGTCCAGAAATACAATCGCTCTACTGGCGTGAATGCGCGAATCCTTTCTATGTTAATTGCATAGCCCCTTTAAACCATCTCATCCTGTCCTCAAAATGTTTCTAATTACAGGAGCCCATCAGTGGTGCTTCAACCTCGGGGAGCTAAGAGAAGATTCAGTGAGTGCTATCACAACACTTTCTTCTAATACTAATCTTAAAACGTCCCTAATGGATGATGCAAGTGGCACCTCTTGAGGCAAATGAGCTTGCTTTCTAGTCTCTTGGTGAATTTGGATAGTCAATGTTCAGCAAGCTATTACCGGGCACTAGGCAATAGCATTTGCACGATCAAAATCTTGCAAGCGCGCGCTGTTCGAGTGGGCGTTCTTTGGCCAGCTCAGGTAAATTTCTGGCACTTTTTTTCACCCAAGCACCAAACAAATGTTGCTGGTGGGTACCAGGCAATATCCAGTGTGATTGTAGCCAGATTACAAGAATAGATCAATGACAGAATTAAACTAATAAGGCCTCGAGCTGTTTGTGGGCACATTAAGCAAGAATAAATAAATAAATAAATAAAGTATCAAACTGATCTGTAGTCATTCGGCAGTTACTGATCAAGTCAAATGAAGCCATTTTGAGTTGAGGCACACAACATAAGCAAAAATGCTTTAAGAATGAGGGCATGGGCGACAGTGCCGATAACCACCTCCCATCTTGCATAGTCGATGCCATGACTATCACCGTTTTTTTTTTTTTTAGCAGAATGTTTTTTATAGTAGTTAACCTCACTTTTTCCGAGTGCCACGTGCTCAGCTTCATCGTCACAGTTTTACGTTGGCTACTTTAGTCCAACTGGTCACTCCTTGCAGTCTACCAACAAATAGTTTTGCCCTCCTAGACACCCCTTATCTTTAATTTATTTCAGACGGGTACCTTTACAGTTTGGCGAATCAGTTAAATACATATCAACAGCATTCTGATTAAGACAGTTTGCTACACAGTGTGAAAAACAACTACCAATTTTTTCTGTTTCTTACTGGTTCAGTCGGATGTGAGTGTGACGAAATGGAAGAGGGCCAATTCTGTGTTCCAAACTGCGTGTACTTTCTTTTCTGGGTTGAGGCCAAAAATCGAATGGTACAGTAAACGTTTTGTTTCGAGATACAGCGACCTGGCAATCCGCACAGAAAAAAATACCGGAGGTTCTCCTTGCGAGGAAGAGGCGAAACAATCTGCCCGTCTAGCATTTTGAAGGCCACAGTGTGTCACCGACAGATTTCTGCCTGTGCTGCCAGTAAAATCTTGCCAGTGATTGGCCGCCAAAACTTGCCATTTTTGATGAGTCGGACTCAACACCAGCTCTTATTTTTCTTAAAGGTCGACGTACGGTCTGCACATTTAAAGCAATAGCTTTATGGATGACACTTTGCTGAGATTTTGAGCTCGTGGGCTGTCGTCGCAGCTATCAACAGCACACACACAAGCTTCCCCCCGTCCTTCCCGCATGAAGGACTGCCACTCACTTTTACCTTCGCCTCTCTCTTTTTACACGGAGGTCTCCCACGAATAGAAAGGAGTTTACCCGTGCACATCCACAGGCTTTCCACACGGTGTGCATGCAAACTGTACTAAAATTAACTGTTGGACTATCATAAAAACTGACGCACGAAGGACGAAGCACAAAAAAGAGAAGGACACAGGACAAGCGCTTGTCCTGTGTTCTCTGTCTCGTCTTTCGCGGTTTAGTGTTTATTTAGGTTTCGGGAGAGAGCTGTTCGCGGAGGTAAGATGCCGCGGGGGGCGACTGCGTCGCCGCTTCAAAGGCGCTTACTCCGCCGAGGCCGTTGTCGAGTGCAGGCAGCTTGGCTAGCTTGGCCACTCTGCGAAAAGTGTCGAGTGGGACACGGATGAACTTGCGGGCAGACAACGACTCTTGATAGCAGATGCCCCCTTCATATCTATACTTCGATTCTTTCATCCGCATGCTCTTCCCGTAGAAACGACCGTGTCACGGGTGACCAGGTTCACGCAAAACAACGGCCATAATTTCTTCTACAGACCGCTACTATGAGAACACCATCGCACATGCAATAAAGTATCAATGCAAACCGACACTTATGTGCATGTGCGATGGTGCACAGTGCACACGCCCCTGCCATCACGCGGCATGTGGAAATATTGCTCTTGCACTACAATAAAAGAAACATTGTACACCACCGTTTTCACAGTTTCTGCCAGGATTTCACACGCATTGCACGAATATCGCACAGCTATCACTGTCACTTCTACCTTCATTCTGGCCAAACGGTGCCAATTTTTTTGTATATCCCTCTTTCCTAGCTATATCCTCTCCACGTCTCCCATCCATAATGCAACTCCCCCTGGCAGTTTAGGAGAGGGGATTGCTTAGAGATTAACTCCCCTGCAGAATATCAAGGTCGAGCATCAGTCTTTAAGGGGAGGGGGTCATATGTAATATTTTATGGGACTGACAGATAGGAAGGAGACATGTCACTGCCTTGATTGGAGCTATTGCTGCGTACGCTGTCCATTTACATGGCCTCTGCTTGAGCCCCAAAACTTTATTTACATTCGGTCTAAGGTAGCAATACATCCGTTGTCGTATTCAAGTTTATCCATGGAGAGGGATATTACCATATCTTCTCTGACATCTATAGCATCTAGAGTGTGGGGGAATGCACATATGTGCATGTGCCCATGCTCCTGACTAGCAGTGCCACTGGCTGTGGTGGAGCAGGCACCTGATCTTCCCTTTGTTATCTTTTCAGGTGTTCAGGTCAACGGTCATGTGCTCAACTCTTTTTCCTGTTTTCTCTTTGTCTTGGGCTTGAAATAAAACAGGTCTGTATGTTTTGTGTTGTTTCTTTTAAAGTGATAGCTTTACGGGTGACACTTTGCAGAGCTTGTGGGCACGCAAGCTTTCTTCCCTTCCTTCCCACATGGAGGGCTCCCGCTCATATGTGCCCTTGCATGTGCGCACCCTCCTCCTTCTTAGAGTTTATGCCTGGGGATTTCTTTCGTGGTGCACAAGCTTGCGAGGGCACCGTTTGAGGAGGATCCGTTGCATTGAAGGCGCCTACTCTGCCGAGGCCGCTGTTGCATGCAGGCAGCTGGGCTAGGTTGCCTGCTCTGCGGAAAGTGCTGAGTAGGAAAGATGAACTTGCGGACAGACGTCGACCCCCAATTCTTTAATCCGCACCCCCTTTTTGTAAAAAGGCTCGGGATGCACCTAAGCACTTAGTTGTGAATGTGAACGTAGATAGGTCCCGGATGTAGGCGACGGCGCTGCGGTCGTACGGACTGGAGGATCCGACCGGTTTCGAGTGTTCCCAAGGCCTTCGGCGAGCAGCTTTGGCTTGCGGTTTGGCTTTTTGGCGGTATGGCAGCGTAAAGAGGCTCCTGTTCTGACCTGATCTTTACCCCATGTTTGCTGTCGTTTGTGGCCAATGAAACCTCATGCCGAATAAGTGTTTAATCGCGCAGCGAATGCAATGCGAGCCGCCCTGGCCGCCCGCTTCACGCAGCCTATCCAGAACATGCTTTAGTGGCGCCCTCTTGAGCCGTCGACTCGGAGTGCGGCAGCCCTGAGCCCTCGCTGAGCTCACTGCCCCTCCTCTAGTTCACAGCCACTCAAGCAACCAAGGACGTCTTGAAGGAGGTTATTGTTTTGCTTGTTTTTGTAATTTTAACTTGCCTATAACTTTTAAAATAAAACGAAATTCGAGAAAAGAAATGTTTTGCTAAGTTACTACGTTCAGTGCACTCAGGTTCGGTGCAAATTAAAAACCAGTAAAAAAGTCCTTGCAGGGCCCCTTGAATGCACGTTGCAACAGATCATTTAGAGGTCTAGCGTGCTCATGTAGGCCTTAAGGTCTCATTATATAGATGGGATCCTGTATGCGGATACAGATCCTATGTAGCTATACGAAATCGTGTATGCGGGCCCAGATCCTATATAGCTATACGGGATCCTGTATGCGGGTCCAGATCCTATATAGCTATACAGGATCCCGTATGCGGGTCCAGATCCTATATAGCTATACGGGATCCCGTATGCGGGTCCAGATCCTATATAGCTATACGGGATCCTGTATGTGGATTTGGGTCCCGTATATGTATATAGGATCCTGTATCCAATAGCATCGTATAAAATTTATACAGGACCCATATGAGATATGTATGCAGGTTTTTTCAATAGGGTTGTGCTTGCAAATAAACAGAGTGCTTGCAAAAAAAAACTGCAGTGAGTTATACACAAGTTTACCAAGATTTTCTAGTTTATAACAAAGAGCAATATCGATTGTCAATCAACTTCATTCCGGGCGTCCTTCGACCAGCGAGACTGAAGAGACTGTGACAAGAATGCTTCAAGCCTTCTCTCATAACCGTTGTCGGACGACTGATGAAATTGTGGAGTTGACAGAGGTGGTCGTGGGAGTTCGTGTCAGCGAATTTTATCGGAGGGTTTACACACGGAAACAGTTGCAGAAAAATTTGTGCCTCGGCTTCGTTAGATTGGTTCCTCCACCATTACAACGCATCTGCCCACACCGTGCTGGGTGTCAGTGTCAGTGACTATAGAAGTGTAATGGCCTTGTCCCACTAGAGCGACAAACAGAAACAACCGACACCGACAAGCCTCAAACATGCGCAGCATCATAGCCTCCTATATGCTGACAAAGCCTGGCAGATCGCCACGAGAAGCGGCAGCCGAAATGGAAAAGGTGACGCGGCAGACAACGGATAAGAGGAGAGCCACGTGACTGGCGCCCCGCTGCGGCAAGACGCCGAAACACACTTCTTCCAAGAGAACAAGTGTGTTTCGGTCGGTTCCTCGCTGCTGCAAAAGCTGTGCGCTGACGTCGAGGCTGCCCAAGAAATGGCTCTTTGATGCTCTGTGTTACCAGAGCCTCGCGCTCTAAGTCTGCGACCCGGCACTCTATGGCTTCTTCGTTGAACTGCCAGGCTTTGTGAGTATAGAGGAGGCTATGGCGGCATGCACCGCAGCCCGGAGCGCCTCGAGCGAAAACTCGTGCTGCAAAACCCAGAACCCAGGAACCCAGAAGGCAAGGCCAGTGCATGACCTTTGGTTAGTAGCAGGTTAGTAGATCCCCGACCCGCCCCCCAAACGGCAAACACCCCGAAGCTTGACGAGGGTATGGGCTACGTCACAACTACGATACAGCGATCAACACGAAACCAGCAATATGAATCCCGGTTTGTTTTTTGTTTCTCGCTTAGTTTTTCCTCTGCACTCCACAGTTGCTGCGGTGTGTATTGTGGAGGTGCTCACTAAGTGTGAAAACGGCTGCCTGGGATCTTGATCACGTCTAAAACATGTTCTGGAAGCAACCTATTTTCTTTGAACTTTGCGACACCCGTCTTAGTGCGGCCGAAGGACACGTCGTGACAAGTTCTACAACACGGCATGTGCCGTTTGTTTTTTGTTTGTTTCTTAGTCGATATGGCTTGGAAGTATGTCATCCTTAACATAGCATAACAGGACTAAGCATTGCACAGCCAGCGAAATCTATCAACGCGACTTGACATGTTCTATAATGTGCAGAAGTATAATAATAATAATAATAATAATAATAATAATAATAATAATAATAATAATAATAATAATAATAATAATTTTATTGCAAATATGAAACATCAATACAAAAGAAAGCAAGTCTGTCAAAAGCCAATAGCGGCTTGTACGACTAGACTCGGCATCGACGTAGAGAAAAACAGTTATACGTAAACATAGCATAAGACGAAAGTAAACACAAGTTACAAGAATTGCAAACAACTCTACAAAAAAAAAGAACACGCCAAAGAAAAAAAAAATACCACAAAGCATAATGGTTCTGGAACCTTAACGAACAACATAGGTAGAAAACATAATACAAAAAAACATCGCATTAAAAAAACAATACCACTAAACATGCCGAAAAAGAACAAAACAAAAATATATTACACAACTCATTCATGAATACGCGCATAAGACAGCTAAAAAACACAAGGGAAAGAGAAAAAAAAAAACACGAGCCATATATGTACGTACATATCTGAAAAGAGCAGTGAAATGAAATATTAAAGGGCGAGTTTTCAAGGTCTTAGCAGATCGTTCTTAGTAGTTTTTTTAAGTTTACGTTTTGAATCTAATTCAAAAAAGGTATTGGAAAGGCCATTAAAAATTTCAGGGACATAAAACGAGCGCAGTCGTTGTCCATACTTCGTATACACACGTGGGATGATGAAACGTTCGCTATCTCTTAGAGCGCGCTGTCCAACCCTAGGAGTTTTAAAAGGGCTTGACCAAATGTGTTTACTAATAACAGACCTTTGGAATAGAGCAGAAAAACGCGGAAGACATAAATATTCAAACAAATCCTCACTTGGGATATTTATCGATGTATACGCTACGCTTTTTAAAATGCTTTTCAAGATGCTATCAATTTTATCTTGCCAGAGCATAGAACACTTTGCATAGACAGTAATGCCATATCTTAACAGACCATACGCTAAAGCATTCGCGATCATTTTTCTAACAGAAAGAGGGAGAAACATTTTCGTAGAGTATAACATACATGATACACCTCGTATTTTTTTAGCAACGTAACTAAGGTGAGAGTTCTAGGACATATCACTGTCAAAATAAATTCCTAAATACTTATTTGTATGAACATATTCGAGAGGATTACATCTGCAGCTCGTACAGTTTGACGAGTGTAGCACAAAAGGAACATTTGAACTCATACGTTTTAAAGGACTATTGAAACACATCAGTTTTGTTTTATGAACATTAATTTTAATAAGATTGGCGTCAAACCAGTTCATTACCTGGGTAGCATTAGCTTGCAATAGGTTAATCGCATTGTTACAATTTATATGCGTTGACAATAGCAGCGTGTCATCAGCGTATTGAAATATTTGACATCCTGAGACAGATTTCGCGAGGTGGTTTACGTACAAATTAAACAAAAGTGGAGACAAAATGGAACCTTGAGGTACTCCTGCTTTCAAGGACACTTTGGCGCTACTGGTATTGCAAACTGAAACATGCTGCGTCCGGTTTGCTAGAAAATCTTGTAGTAAGTTGAAAAAAGGCCCCCTGAAACCGTAGCTGAAAAGTTTTTTCAAAAGTATTTTATGATTGATGGAGTCCAACGCCTTAGCAACGTCTAAAAACAGAGCGCAGGCATATTTGTTTTTTTTTTTTCAAACGTGCTATGTAATGAATCTACGAGGTCTTCCAGTAGAGATTCTGTGCCACGTCCCGCAATAAAACCGTACTGCGACGGAGCGAAAAATTTAGACTTTTCAAGAAAAATTGTCATAGTTTTCAAAATGTGTTTTTAATAATAATAATAATAATAATAATAATAATAATAATGTTTATTTTTCCGCCAAAACACAAATGACGGTAGTTCTTGGCCGTAGTTGGTGGTCCTTCGGGTAAATATCGGGTAATTTGGCGGCGTTTCTCAATAGTTGCACCGTTTTATACAGCTTGTGCGCGCCTGCACTCAAAATGTTTCAAGCGCCAGCGTAACGCCATAAGCTGCAGCTTGCGGCGCAAGTGCCTGGTTGAGACATTTGCGTTGATTGCGTCCACAGCAACCAAAACGACCAAGACACATTCAACGGTCAAACCGTGACGCACGAATGCTTCTCGAAGGTACAACTTGCATCGCTTGCCACATTTTGCGCGACAAACTGTTTCCCTGGTGCAGGCAAAGACTCTTCTAACAACATGCTTCAAAATCTTGGTCTGCCAAGAGGGGCCTGGAGGACTGCTCCAGTTCTGGTGTCGGTGTACTCTGTTTACGTGACGATGAATTTCTTTTCAAAGTGTCCTGCAT